CTTTCAGATACAATATTAAAATTCTATTTTCCTTAAAAGAACTTTCCAAACTAATTTTCCGAACATCATAAGCTCAATCAATCGAGGTCAAAATAGTTTATCCAACCTATATTGAATGGTAAAAATTCGAGGTTAATGTGGCAACATGATAGGAAAAACTTGAAGATCTCAAATAATTTCTATAAATCTTTAGAAAACAGCGAAAATCCTCCACAAGAATCCACACAAACAGAGAAAACAGTAGAAAATTTGTATTTTTTGATGAAATGGAAATGGAAAATACCAAGATACAATTGATTCTCTATTCGAGAAGAGGATCGATCACTCCCAAATCTCTAGATGCTGCTAGAGCCCAAAAGAAAACCTAAATCTAAAAGATCTCAAATTTTAGCCAAACTCAAGATGCCTAACCCTAGCAAAACAAACTATTTAATGCATACAATTCAAAAGGAAATCTCTAAACAGTCCCGACATTCAATTTCCCTCCTAAACATTCTAAAAAAACCTTCCAAAGATGCTCCATAAGCTCCTACGGTTCGTGCGACTAGAGCAGGAGGCGAAGACATTCCGCCTCATTCGCGCCTAGGCTGATCCCGCATGTACCGGCTAGACCGATCTAACAATACTCCACACCCAAAGATCCACCTTGTCTTCAAGGTGGAGATATGCTTGTGTTCCTGTGGAGGTGGTTGAAAAATCTTATCAAATTGCTGAATCAAGGGCTGCACTGAAAGAGAAACATCCCCTTCCTCTCCATCTTGATCACATCCATCTTGTGTATTCACACCAGATAATCTTCCCCCACCTCTTGTATGCTCCTAACCATGGTCTTAAGTGATATCATGGCTTTGAATAGTCCTGAATCTCTCTTTATAACCACCTTTCTTCCATTCACCATTAATTCCATCGTAAATGCTCCCCAATTGTCCTTGGTTTCCCCCAAGGTTTGCAACCACTTAATCCCCAGGATGACACCAGTACGTCCTAACTCTAGTGGGAGAAAATCCTCCCTTACCTAAATCCCCTGGATCGTCAACACCACTCTACAGATCTCCTAACCTTTCTCCACCTTGTACCCATCATCACCCCATAATAACCGGTGTCCACCAATTTCACTCCCAATTGGTTGACGACCTAAGTGAAAATGAAATTATGGGTAGCCCCACTGTCAATCAGTACTACCACCTCCATGCCTGCTATTACCCCCTTCACTTTCATCATATGATTCAAAATGAATCCTACTACTGAATTCAGAAAGACCTCCGCCATATCCAGATGCAACTTGTCATCCATTTCTCTCACCTCCCTCAGTTTCCTCGTCATCACAAACAGAGAGAACATGAAGAGTTCGATCCCTACACCTTTGCCCTGGAGTATACTTCTCATCACACAGGAAACATAACCCTTTTTCCCTCTTCTCATGCATCTCCTTCTTTATTAGCCACTTGAAATCTTCCCCACTCCCTCCTACTGGCTTCTCCCTGGTGGTCTCATTAATGTTGCCTGATGCAAGCCCCTTGGGAGCCAGAAAAGTGGTTGCCGTCCTATAAGAGCCTTATGAGCGGCTGCTCCTGGCTCCCTTCTCTAGATTCTTCTGATTTTCACTAGCTATATAAATTTCATGGCCTCCCTCAAGTCACGAGGCATCAGAATTTTCATTGTCGCTCTTATCCCTACCTTTAGCCCCTTCATGAAGTTCCCCTCCAATACCGTATCTGATAATTGCTCCACCCTACTGGCCAGGTGCTCAAACCGTTCACAGTTGTCTGCTACAAATCCCTCCTGCACCAGAGCAAAGAACTGCTTGTAGAAATCTCATCCATGCTCGGTTTGGAAACATTCTATTATGCAGTTCTTGAATTCTCCCAACTCCTGATAGGTCTTCTCTAATCTCTCCAATGGTACTATGACAGTGCCTTCCCCTCCAAACATAAACATGCTGTTGTCAGCTTCTTCTCCTTTGTTAACCATTAACGGTGAAGTACCTCTCCACTTTATAAATCCATCAATATGCATCCCCCCTTCGAATATGGGCATCTTCAGCTTCCTCACCATCTGATCTCCCCTGTTTCCCCTTATTCCTCCATAGCTTCCCCTCTCCCAAGTGTTTGGCCCTCCCCACGTCTCCCGATCTTCCCTTGCCCTATCATAACGCAAACCACCTTCGAATTCCCCTCTCATTCCTTCAAATTCAGCACTTCAGCGGCCATAATGTCCCTCCTGGCATTCCCAATCAGCACCCCTTTGCTCCGCTCCTCCATACACATGTCTTTCCCCATACCTACCTCCTCTATCCTCCCTCTGGGGTTTTCTTCTTTCTCCCTCCATGATCTCGACATCATTTTCCTCCCTACGAATTTTAGAATTCGTATTCTTCCCTTCCAACCCTTTTGCCACAGAAGCCACCGTTTGGTTGTGGATTTCTAGCATTTTTTTCATCATGTCCCAGAGAAAGGCTACTTGTCCTTCCATGAAAGAAATCTTGTCCTCCACAGTTGTCTTGATTTGGTTCATCTCCTCCTTCAAGTCTTTCTTCTAGCGTATCTACTTTCTTGGCCGCCATCTCTATCTGGATCTTTGTAGATTCAAAAAAATCTGGATTTGGATCACAAAAACAGCAACTTTCTCCTTCCCCGGCCAAGAATCAGCCATTGAAATTTGCCAAAATCAGCCCCCCAACAGTCCCAAAACTTGCTATGATACCAATTTGATAGGAAACACTTAAAGATCTCAAGTGATTCTTATCAATCTTTAGAAAACAGCGAAAATCCTCCACAATAATCCACACAAATCAAGAAAACAGTAGAAAATTTGTATTATTTGATGAAATAGAAAGAGAAAATACCAAGATACAATTGATCCTCTATTCAAGAGGATCGATCTCTCCCAAATCTCTAAACGCCGCTAGAGCCCAAAAGAAAACCTAAATCTAAGAGATCTCAAATTTCAGCCAAATTCAAGATACCCTAACCCTAGAAAAACAAACTATTTAATGCATACAATTCAAAAGAAATCTCTAAACAGTCCCTACATTCAATTTACCTCCTAAACTTCCACAAAAAACCTTCCAAAGATGCTCCATTAGCTCCTGTGGTTTGCGCAGCTAGAGCAGGAGGCAGAGACGTTCCGCCTCATTCACACCTGGGCTGATCCCGTGTGGACCGACTGGACCGGTCCAATAGACCAGTCTAACACAACGCTCTAACCTATTGTTTGATAAATACGATTGTTTTATTGTAATAATGAGTACATAAGAAATTTTGCATTTACTATCCAGCATAATTGAATCAAACAAAGCAAGTGATTACGACCTCCATTTCTGGTAGGTATTAAGAACATTACCGTAACGTAGTCGAGGAGATCATTTTGAATATTCTTTATCTTCCCTCTCAAATTACCAATGGTTTCATATGCACAATAAATGAATAAAAGATAGATGTGAGCTGCTGATGTATTTATAATGGTAAAGTCAACTGGAACAATGTTATCCAGTCTAAGAAGATATCATTCAATACTACACTAGTTAATATTTATGAAACACGGAATGCTTTAAAAGGACTATTGTTTCCATAATGGACATGGACATGACCCAAAAACTGACAGACACGGTCTGAAATGCTGAAAAATTGCATCTATTTTTTTCCTAAAATTATGGTCGGACACAACTAGGACACAACCATACATGATTAAGAGATACCCTTGTACATACTAAACATGTGATGATGATGTATTATTTTTTTTATAAGCCAACCTAGCAAATTAGTTTTTTATCGATAATAGTGAATATTCTATAAGATGGTGGTGAGACCTGTAATATTTTATGGTAAAAAATGTTGGCCATTAAAAGAGAAGCATAATATTAAGTTAAGTGTTGCAAAGATGAGGATGGTCAGATGGATGAGTGACTTCACACTTCAAGATAGGATATGAAACGTGCATATACATGGAAAGGTTGGAATAGCTCTAGTGGAAGATAAGATTAGAGAGAGTCGCCTTAGATGGTTTAATCACATAAAAAGGTCTTCCGATGACCCGGTTAGTAGAGTAGATGTATTCGATTTGGTTTATGTTAAGAAAGGTAAGGATAGACCTAAACAGACTTTATTAAAAAGTACTAGAAATGGACTTTCTTTATTAGATTTAAATGATAATTTGACTCTTAAAAGGATATTGGAGAAAAGCAATTCATGTAGTCAACCCCATGCAGTAGGATAAAGGCTTAATGTTGTTGTTGGTAATGATGAATATTCTATTAAAGAGGGTATTAGTGTTAGTAGCGATAATGAATGTGATGATGCTCTATAGGTGTTGGGTCAACAAGTGGTGGCTCAATATCCTTATTTTTTATATTTAAAAAATTATATACTATATTTTTCTATTGGCAATTTGAGTGCTTAATATATTGTTAAAAGATACAAAAAAAATATTAAAAATAATTATAATTAAACCATATTATGTTTTAAAGTTCATTAAACTTAAGGTTATAAATATGATATTATATTTCGTTATATAACTTTTTGAGATTAAAAAAACACATGAATTTTTTCAATTACACATTTTAAATTAATAATTTATAAAAAAAAATATCATATCCATGATATTTCATGTCCTACACTTTATGGCTATGTCCCGTAACCTTATCCATATTGTGGTGTATTTACATTAGGTGCCAATGTATGTGCTTTGAATGTCAACAAAATTGGTAAGATTTTGAAATAGAAAGATCATAGAAAATATAAACTATTGATAGAAGATAAAGAAATGGATGAACAAAATGTACAAGGATGATGGCACTTTGATTTTTTTTTTCCTTGTTTTTTTTTTTGTTTTTCTGGAAGGTCCAAAGCTGAAACTCAAGAATGTCAGCCCTCAAACTCACAGCCTATGTAGACACATCTTAGTAATTCAACCAATAAGACTAAACTCAGGAGACCAAATTTAAAAGTTTAAAGCAAACTGATAACTTGGTGAGAATAGCATGGAGAATCTAAAGCACTCACTTGGGTCTTTAGTTGTTTTAATCCCTGCACCACCAAAACTACAAGCAATGTCAGTGGCTCCATTCTGCTGATAATAGCTGTTAAAAGCATAAGAAGCATGAGAGGTCAAAGAATCGGGCTGAAAACAAGGCTGGCTTGGCTGAATAGCTGAACAATCAACATTTCCAGGACCACAGGCCCAGTCCAATGCATTCTTCAGGTCCTGTTCTGAAGCGTTGCTAGAAGCAACACACCATGTACCATTTGAGCCAGTAATGTTCGCCCCAGTCACAACATCAACACTACCCTTACCGGTCCAATCAAGGCTGAATATACTAGTCTGATCAGGATAAAACAAACCCCAATTTCTCTCCGATTCCAAACCCGGTTTCTTATTCTCATTGAATAATGAGAATATATAAACATCGATCTCTTCTCCTGGCTTGGCAGGAGTCCCAGTATCATTAATAACATGGCGAATCAAATTGGTATCGTATGACTGAGCATTATCAGAAGTTGCTGCAGCTTCCTTTGCTGAGCCCTTGTTAGGCCACCCGGATTCCGTAACCATAACCTTCAAAGTCCTAAAATTCAACGCCATGAGTGCAAAGTATATAGCATCCATTTGTGCATCAAACATGTTGGTGTAGACCAAACCAGTGTTAGGATCAATGACATCTGACGTCGGATTGAATAAAGCATAGTCAAGAGAAACATTTTCCGAGGAATCTCTATAAGCATAATAAGGATAAAGATCAATCATGAAAGGGGACTGATTCTCCACCAGAAATTCCAACATAGGCTTCAGAAAGAAAGCAAACTTGCTATCGAAAGCCCCAGCAGACGGCGGAAAAGACCGAAATAGCACACCAAGCGAATGAGTGCTTGACACCTTGATTCTTTTGTGCAATCCAACCTTCTTTAGAGCAGTGTTGACATTAGTCATGGCAGGAACAACGAGAGATGAGACATTGACAGGGCTTTCAGTTATCTCGGCTCCCACAGTTATGTAGGTAATTATTGTGGCGGGGTAGTAGGGGAGGATATTGGTTTTAAGCCAGGTATCAGCATTGGATTGGTACTGGGAGATGGCCAGCAAGTCTGAGTTAGGTATTCCTATCATAAGTTCAACTCCAGTGTTAGCAAAGGCCTTGAGAACCTGAATATTGGCGTCATAGATTCTAACATATTTGATTGAATGAAGCTGGATAAGCTGAGCAACTTTGTCTGGTGTTGGAAGATCATCAGCATTTCTACCGTAGCAAACACCAACCTTTCCCCCACTGCAAAGCTCTGCGAGGAAACCAGTGAGTAATTAGAAAGCAAAACTTATATCAATAAAACAAACTTGAAACAAACCCAAATGCCAGAGAGAAAAACCAAGAAATCCTGATTTTTAAAGGCGTCCAAGAACTACAAAAGGCATTCCAATAGGAGAGCATCAAAGCTACTTTATACTTTGGAAGGAGGATAGTAGAAAGCTTACCGACAAAGAAAGAAATGGCGAACAGAGGAATCAGTGGAAAGAGTCCTATTCCATTAGCCATCATTCAAGGCAAGGAAGCGAGCTTGCCCAGTTTTTGGAAAAGAATCCGCCAAAATGGCACCTTTCTTTCTCTCCTTCCCCTCTGAAAACCAAAGCTATATGCTCTTCTCGTTCTACTTCTTCTACGCTTCTTCTCCCATCTTTTTTCTCCGCTGGTGCGACTGGTCTCCTGGGAACTCGAGCACGATGGGGTCCGATTGCAGGGCAGGGAGCACATAAGGACGAAAAACAGGACGCTGTAGCAGCTGAACGCGCGGTCACGGTCACAGAGAGTGGAATGCGGACCCTTCGAGTGTCTGTCAATACGGTGTTGGGGAGGTTTATATTTTATTCCAGAAGAGAGAGATTCACGCATTATATTATAAAAATACTTATTAGAAAATTTATGTGCATATTACATAAATTTTTATTTATTTATAAATTAATTATTAAAAATTATAAATTAAATTCCATATCACTTACAATATATATAAAAATTATATAAATAAATAAGTAATTTTAATTTTTAATATTTATTTGTAAATATATATTGAGCTCAATTTATATCATCCAAGACAGCATGTTATTTTATATATTGAATTTATTCAAAAAATAAAATTTTCAATTGTATAGTTTACTTTTCTCATAAGAATCTTCGTAGATAGATTATACACCATTGAACATTTTTATTCCTAGTATTTTTTTTTAAATTCCTAATATAATTATGCCCTTTTGACTATACTATTTATCCTAAATACTTTTCTTTGGTTGAGAAAACCCCTTCAAATTCTCCATTCTTTTTATTTGCAAAGTTCACACTTAATGTGATCATTCCCTTTTGATAATGTTTTCCTTTTGTAGTTATGCCCTTTTGATTAAAATATTGCCCAATATGATCATGCACTTTTGATCAAGTCACCGTTGATATAATCACACTCTTTTGACAAGCGCAATCACAATCAGATCATGCTCTCTTAATCTTACTATCTTGATCTAAGTCGTGTTCCTTACAGAAATTCCTCTTGAGCTTAATCATATCACATTTTGTTGACTTTTGTACCTAATTGATTGTGCTTCTTTTAACTTGTTCATTATATTATATAATCATACTTTGTGATTGGAAACACTTGATTTTGAGAAAAAGGGAGATGAAATAAGCTTGTTTTTCTTACATAAGAGATTGTACTAGAAGAGATAAGAAAGATGTCCAATGAAATATAACTAATAAATCTTATCAAAACCTATGTAAAATACTCATCAAGTTACATCTTTGAAGTAAAGTCAAATCAAGACAATGTGAGTAATGTGATATCCCAAAGAGACTAGGTTTCCTAAGGTTAAAAAAACTTATGGACACCTATAAAAGTTACTCAATAAATGAAATATATCCTTATCTTAATTTAATACTGATAGTTAATCTATTATTACCATAGGACAAGTCCTGAAACTAAAAAGGCTTAAACTACATAAATGTAGGGGTGTTAATTATTGACCCGATCTTAACCCAACCTTCAAAATTTGGGTCCGGGTTGACCCATTTAACAAATGGTTTAGGTTCGTGTTTCAAATTTTGACCCATTTAAAAAATTGAGTTGGGTTTGACTCGAACCGCTAACTTGAAATTGACCCGAATTTGACTTATCCAGTCTAAATTCGTTAATCCCACCCACGGTCCCGCACATGTCCATCTTCTGTGCTGCTAGTGGCAGATCGCGCCTCACGCAGTTCCTAGTCTTGCACAGCTTGTTGCTTGCATGATCGCACCACGAGACATGATGCCCTTGAGTCCAACTTGTGTGTCCCACTTATGAGTTTTACATGCGTGTCCAGCATGTGAGCCCTATGCATATCCGGCCTACTTTTTGTATGCATCATGATCAAGTAGCTCGTGTGTGACTTACCTTGGTGCCCTTGCCTCGCATGCAACCTATCTTAATCTCACGTGCGACCCGTCTTAAGCTCACGCGCAATTCGCCCCAGTTTAGCTGTGTTGGGTCAGGTTGACCCGGGTTTGAGGCGGTTCAGTTCTGACTTCAAATTTTTGACTTGCTTGTGCAATCGGGTCAAGTTTAAGTTGAATAATTTGAGAGTGGGTCAGTTTTGGGTTAGACCCAAACCCGATGCGAAAACTTATTTTTACGCCTCTACCTAAATACTTAGCTATTTGTTCACTCACCACACACATACAAATCAAAATAATACAAGGGGAGAAATTTGAAGCAATAAACTAAAGCTTGAGATTTAAATTTTTGCAAGCAATGTAAGCACTAGAAATATATAAAGGTTTCAAATAACTTGAAATGACTCCAAATGTCTTAAATGTGGGGGAAGTCCAAGCTAAGACAAGCTAATTAGGTGGGAAGGAATAGTATAGGTATATAGGTACACCAAAAATCAAAGGGTGTTAACCCTAAGGTATGATGAGTTAATATAAAAACTTAGTCAAAAGAACATGAGAAATTCTAGAAGAGAATCAACCAAATATGGTAAGGCGAAGTATTAAAGATACTTAAAATAAATGCCACTAGCATGCGAAGTACGACCAAACTAGCATGATTCAAAAGAATTAACTCTAACAAATGCTATATGTCACAACCCAACCCAACCAAGACAGGCCCTATCATGTTGAGCTGTGATAGGAAAATCCTAAGAACTAGTTTTGTAATATTTTAGATTCTCTTCCAATATTTATTTTTAAATAAATTACATACTACAAAGAAACTAAAACATTCTAATACTAAAAATAAACTCATCCACAAGATTTTATTCATTTCATCAAAATGTATCTATATTACAGTACATGGCTACATGTAAAAGCTTATAATAAACTAGCCAACACTATATAAAAATCAAAATAGATAACTACCTATAGCCTCAAATTTAATCATGAATTGTTAATCAATAGTCTCTTTCCCCTTCCGAGATCCTAAAAATCACAAGAAAATCATAGTGAGCTACGACAGCTCAACGGACCATACAAACCAATCTAAATTTCTAAATTATTTTATTAAACATTTTGTTGAATATTTAAAAGTAGTTAAACATTGTCTAATAAATCAATATACTAGAAAATATAATATGAGCATAACACTTATCCAATTATTTAAATAACCATGCAATAGATAAATAAAATGTAATTCGTATCATAGAGTGATTTATATCATATTTTTCCCAACCCAGACAGAATCTCAAAGGATTCTTACCCCTTATTACTCCCTTTTTTGCTTATAGCACCAGAACATGTCCGTAGGCACTAGAGTTTGGATTATAGCCACCAGAACGTGCCATATAGGCACCATAATATTCTTTGACACAAATAAAATCTCAAAGAATTCTTGCCTCTTATGGCTCCAAGAAGATATAACTTAATCACATATTTACGTATATCATCATATTATAGTAGTTAAAGAGTAATTCAGGCATGTGTTGAAATTATAAAGTTTTTTTATAACGGTATGCAACAGAAAATTCTAGTAGATAAAATGCACATTTTCATAAATATAACCAAATTAACATGTATTGTATAAAACAATATTTTAATATTTTTTATAGTACTACAACACTATTTTTTAGTCCAAATAATTTTTTATTCAATTAAAATATCATAAATTTCAATACCTCTATTGTAAAATTTATAAAACAAATTTAAAATGTATATACTCATAATATCTATAACATATAAAAAGTTACACAGTGAACGTTTTATTAGTGCAAAGTTATCCGCACTTTTTTCTAAGAAAAAAAAATATATTTGATCAATAAATTAGATAAAAACTTTGTATTTTTGAAAATTGAGATAGACACAATGTGATTTACCTTGATCCGAACAATATTCTGAATTGGGCGATGGCTAAAAATGACTAAAATAGGAAAAAAATCATTTTTTATCTCCCAAAATCCTCTTCTTGCAACTTTTTCCAATCGGGTCAAAATAAGTCATTCCAGATGATGAACTTATAGGCGTAACAACTCTCCCTTCGTCAGAAAAATAGCATCCTGACATCTCAAAACTCAGATCACAAAAATAAATCAGAATACAATTGTCACATCTCATACTTTTTTTTCAAGTAGCTTCTCTTTCAACCATATTCTTCTAATGAACTTTAACTATAGGACATTGTTTACTCCTTATCTTTCTAACATCATAGGCTAGAATCTTTTCGGGTTCTTCCCAACAACTCAGAATCAGACTTACCTCAATGTCTTCAACATATATCATATTTTCAAAATTAGTTACCAATTTTATCAGAAGTGACATGTGGAACATATTATGAATTTCTAACATATGATATAAAAACTATAATATTTAGGGAACTTTCTCAATCATTTCAAAAACTTTAAATTATTCAGCATACATTGGACTCAACTTCACTTCCTTGTCAATTATGTTAATGCCTTTAATTGGTATGATCTTCATATATATATAATCTCCTACCTGAAATTTTACAGCCCGATGCTTAGCTTTAAAATACTGGTATTTCTTGTCATGTACAACCTTCAATTTGTCTTTAGTCAAACAAAACTTTTCAATAGCATCATCAACTAAGGCCGACCAATAATTTGTCTCTCACCCATCTCTATCAAAGTCAAAGGAATCCTGCACTTCCTACCATACATAGTTTCGTATGGAGCCATACTTATACTTGACTGAAAATTATTTTTATAACCAAACTTGATCATAAGAATGTAGTCTTCCCACCTGCCACCAAAATCAAGAATACAGAGACTAAAAAAATGCTTCATTACTTATATGTCCTCTCGGATTGTCCGTCTATCTGCAGATGAAAAGTCATATTGAAGTACAATTTTGTTCACATACTTTGTTGAATACCTCTCAATAGTTTGGAGGTAAATATGCCATCATTATAATAGACTATAATATTTAGTATTCATGCAAATTGATGATCTCACACATATATACCCGATCTATTTATAGAATTAGATTATCATATCAGAGTAAAATGAGTAAATTTGTCAATAGATCAATGACAACCCAAATAACATCATATCTTTATCTCGACCTAGGAAAACCAATAGTAAAATCCATAGTCACCTCTTCCCACTTCCACTCTGAAATGGGTAATAACCACAAAAGACCTCTCAATTGCTAGTGCTCTGTCTTCACTAAATGATAGGCTTCACACTTTGATACAAAATCTATAACATCCTTCTTCAATCCACGCTACCAAGACATGCCTTTCAAATCACTATACATTTTACTACTTCATGGGTGAATAATATAGCCTAAATAGTGAGCCTCATGCAAAATCTCTCTCAGATGGCCAAAAATAGGAACATATAGTCTATCCTTGAAGAA